GACACGCGCGCCGTTCTATATTTCTTAAATACATGTTTACCATGTTTTGAGGTCACTCAAAACAGAAACATTAGTTTATTTGCTCTATTAACATTTGAGGAGGTTTAAAGAGAATTGGAAGAATTAAATGACTATTTCTTAAAGATATTTACTAACTTGCTAAATTAACATTACAGTATTTCACTGGAAACCATGATCGCCACACTATAAAAGTCAATCATCTAATCTACCCAATCAGATGCCAGTATCTGAGGCTTCATCCTTACAACTGGCGCTCTCATATCTCAATGAGAATGGAGGTTTATGGATGCCATATTGGTAAGTATTACCYATCCCCCTCCCCACYCCCTCACATTTTGAGCATTCAAAGTCAAATTGGATATGACTTGCTAGAGTACTTTAATGTAAGAGCTCTAAACATGAGGTATGGGCAATTCAAATAAAACATTGTTTTGGTTTGTTTCAGACAAATGCAAGCTACCAGTTGGTCTTGAAGATTATAGAATTCAAGGTGGMCAGCTTTCTGCTTCTTCTTTCCAGGGCACAACCTATCATCCTTCCAGAGCTCGTCTCAATGTCCTTTACGGATGGACACCTAGAGGAAGCAATAGGAATCAATGGCTACAGGTAACACTACAGGGGTGGATAGAGGGGGGGGGGGAGGTGAATTGGGTGACTAGGACCACCCCCCTTTTTCGAATGAAATGATAATGCAAACTTAGGAAATAGTAAAGTATTGGGTAAAAATCGAAGATTCACGTCTAGGTAATATATCGCTGTGAAGAACTTTTGGGTTATTATAATACCTACTTCTAAATGTTAGCTCTCTAAAAAAAATTCACCCCCCCCCCTAAAAATATCCTGGATCCCCCCCTGCTACAATCATAAACATCTGATTGAAAAAATGTCATTGTTTCACAAATACATGGCAAGACTGAAAGGGGTCCTGGGTACTCAGGAATTCAAATCATATTTGACTAAACATAGAAGTCCACCCAGAGAAAGCTACATGTATTTCATTTAGTACAGGCAATCTACTGGCTCTGAAGCACTATTATACTCATAATAYTTGTTTTCCCACAATCCCTTTTGGTCTTAATGTAACTGGGTGGAAATGATGAAGTAGTCTCTTAATATACTGTAGGTTCATATTGATTGATATAAGTTGTTGAAGAAAGATAGCACGCCTAGACAAAACTAACGCACAACCGAATCTGGAGATGGTTTACTTGCGTAAATCGCGCGCCTTACAAACGTGACTTTCATCGTAATTTCCCATATATGGATTACATGTAACGTAATCTTGACCTTGCTGACGTAATCTTTTTGATATAGAAACTATAGCACAAACATTGTGCAACGCAATGAATTTTCTTTGATCATTTCAGATTGAATTCATCCATGGCGTCCGCGTCAAGGGTGTGGCCACACAAGGAAGGTCCAATAGTCACTACTGGGTTACTCAGTATTATTTGACATACAGTTCAAATGGTATGAGTTTCAGACCTTACAAGTTTCCATCATCAACAAAGGTTTGTATTAATGGAATACGCTGTGGTACAGTGCAAACACTACAAGAATGATAAAGTACTAATTCGGTTGTTCTACATATTGATAGAAAATATTAATTAGACATTGGAAATAATTCAGTAGTACTTAGTACTATAAACCAGATAACTATATACTTCACACTAAATAGTTCGCTGACTAATTTAAATGCAAACCTGCTCCGCAGGCAACCATTCATTTTCTTCTTTTGAGCCGAGCAAGGGCATTCGGAGGGAACTATGAATGATACTAACTTCTACTTGAATCGTAATCGCCCTGTTTTCTATTGCTTTGTCAACATAGTACTTTTTCAAGATTTTCGTGTTTGGATTCTAATAAAACGATTCTAATTATAGATATTTATAGATTAATATTTTTTTTCTTTTGAATAGTATTTCAGAGGGAACAGTAACATGCATAGCATCGTCTACCATGACATCGAACGACCTTTCGTTGCTTCTTTCCTGAGGTTCCGTCCCACAAGATGGCGAAGCTATATTAGCATGCGCGTAGAAGTTTACGGCTGCTCCACTGGTATGGCATACAGGCCCGGGCAATTTTGATACGTTTTCGTGGCATTTCAGCCGTTTTTTTCAATTCCATTTAGAATTGAGATTAAGAAAAAAATGGTCTGAAAACGCAGCAATGTGGTTGAGGCCCAAATTAGCTATAAAAACTGATACTTGTACGGGCATTTTTCAATTACGTATACGGACATTTTTCTTTGACTTATACCAGAAATTTTCCTTTGACATATACAGACATTTTTCTTTGACATATTCGGACATTTTTCTCATACGTATACCGGTATTCTTTTAATTATACGGACATTTTTCTTTTACGTACACTCTATGATTTCGGACTATTACATAAGGCCTATGTTTGGGATGTGACAAAAAACTATGTTGTATCAGACAAGTATCTTTCTTTTGTCGTTTGTTTGAGAATTTTTTAATACAAACTATAATTGAAATTTAATAGATTTTGCCATATATGACCATTTTACTAAATGAATAAAAAAAACATAATTACTTTTGTTACAGTTGGTGCATGCAACAAAGCATTGGGTATGTACAGCACTCGAATAAAGGCAGCCCAAATCACTGCTTCCACCTACTACAACAATGCTTTGAAGCCCGAGTACGCGCGCCTCAACAGACGGTTAGGACAGGGTTCCTGGTCAGCAAGACACAATAACCACAACCAGTTTCTTCAAGTAGATTTTGGTACAGTCAAGAAAATCGTCCAGATAGCYACCCAATCGCGGCACAATGTCCACCAATGGGTGACGTCTTTCTGGTTGTCTTACAGTATTGATAAGGCMCATTGGGTTTTGTATAAGTATAAGAGTGGGCAAAGTGAGGGTGTTAAGGTAAGGAAACCCTTTTAGTTAAGCGATTCTAGAGACATTCAGTCAATCTTTTGTAGAAAATATTGTTATCATTCAAAGGAGTCATTTGCGGATAGACTTCTGAAGYCTTTACGTCATCAACGTGATTTGCAATGCATTGTGTGAACAGTTTCTAGAGAAAATAAAAGAAATCCGCCATGTTTTGTCCCAAACATCCTACAATGCATTGCGTATACGGTATATGATATGAGAGGCTTCAGAGGTTTATCTGAAATCATCAATTAAAAAATTGAATAATTGTTTAACCAATTAATGAAATTATCAATCAATTCTTCCGGATTTCCTACAGAATTATTATTTTTTCATCAAGTTTAACATGGCGGCGATAGCTTTGTTCTTTAATAATTCTGGAGGGATTCTTGACCATGTGGTTGAAATCCAAGAATTGTCAAGGCTCGTTTACACTTGCGATTTTTGCAGCAAAATGCAAAATTGTCGCGCGATAATCGCCACTTTGCTATTGCGCAGCTAAAATCGTACGTGTAAACAGCCCTGCGATTGTCGCGATGGAAAATCGCCGCGAATTTGCAGCCAATTTTCATGCATGTTCAAAACTCAGGCGATGGTCGCGCGACGGTCGCCGCGAGAATCGCTCTGCAAAAATCACAAGTGTAAACGGGCCTCAAAACTCACAGAAAAAACTCTATCACTCATTGATATCTGTCTGTCTGTCTGTAGACATTCCAAGCCAACCGTGACATATATTCCACTGTATACAACCCAATAAACCCAGGAATCAAAGCTAGATATGTACAGATTAAACCTCGTGGATGGAGATCACACATCTCAATGCGAGTTGAGTTCTATGGATGTGCTACGGGTAAGTTTATTGCCCGGGTTTATTTATAATATTCTTCTTTTACAATGTACGTCACAGCGGCAATCTTGGAGTAAATTCAACAAAGGATTTCTCGTTAGCATATATTGTTCATTCATTCACCATGGCCGCCAGTCTTACTTTCGACTCGCATGGGAATGATTGAAAACGATTTTAAGTTAATAGGCACTAAAAATAATCCACATTAGACTTCTCGAATTCGCTTGGATGATCATAGAAGAATTGATTGAAATCGAGATTAAACTTGATTCTTTGTCGATCAATGACAGCCCCGAAACCATTGTTTCGTGTTCATCCAGGCTAATTCAGAAAAGGTCTATTACAAAGAAAACAATTGTGTTCCAACTTTTTCCTCCTTTGGGATTCCTTTGTAACGGTCATCTTGGCCGCTAGGGACTAGTGACGAGAAAGCCCTCATTATCCCTCTTTTGACTCCCAAAAAAGTTAGGAAGCCCGTGATTCTTAGTGATGCCTGCGGAGGAGCCTATTTTTGACAAGGCTGGTGGAGGGGTCCTGTGTGCCTTCCCGACGCCCCTGAGATATARAAACACTTAACTCCGAACATGTGTAAGACTTTTTGTTGCCTTTCTAGACAAGTGCATGYTGCCTCTTGGAATGGAAGACAAGAGAATCAACATTGGTCACCTTAARTCAAGCACTATGTATAACCCAACATACGCACCATGGAGGGCTGGGCTCCACACCACTTATGGTTGGTTGGCCAGGACACAAAACGCTAATCAATGGATTCAGGTCGACCTTGAAACACCAACACATTTAAGGGGTATTGCTACTCAGGGAAGACATAACGCGAACCAGTGGGTAAAGCAGTATCGACTTTCTTATGGAAACTCTCCTGGAAAATTGACCATGTACCGTGAAGGTGGAAGACCAAAGGTAAGAAAGCGCTGATCATTTTGACTTATGGAATATACACCCTTTTAATAAGTCCCGAGGTATTGTTTTCTGCACACTTAACGTCAAATTTATTCTTTTTTTGTAAATTTTTACAATACAAAAGGAATTCAAAAGAATAAATTTGACGTCAAGTGCGGAGAACACAATACCTTGAGACTTATTAAAAGGGTGTATATAAGTGTTGGAAGATGATGCAATGGAAGCATTCAGCTTGCGTTGTCAAAGAAGCTTCACCCTGTGGACAAAACAGATGATTTTTACTCTCTAGAAAACTAGATCCATTGACATTGTCCCCCAGTTGGATCTGCATATCAAGGGTTCTACAGAGAGCTTTTATTATTAAAAATCATTTATCATATAATTATTTATGAAATACCTATATTTCTCCATTTCGCCGTAAAATTGATATTTTCACTAGTGAAAATAACACATTCGAGGTTTCTCTATAAAGTGTAAGTCAGAAAAATGGTATTTTACGACATAATTTGCTTTCATATACAATTATATGATAAATAGAATATTACATGGTCGCTTAGAGATACATATTTTATCTTCTCGTGAGAGATCTTTTCAACACTCCTCAATTTATTCTCAATTTATTCTATTACAGGTGTTCATTGGTAACAACGAGAGACAGTTCCCTGTCTTCCATCTGTTCAACAAGCGNGACACGCGCGCCGTTCTATATTTCTTAAATACATGTTTACCATGTTTTGAGGTCACTCAAAACAGAAACATTAGTTTATTTGCTCTATTAACATTTGAGGAGGTTTAAAGAGAATTGGAAGAATTAAATGACTATTTCTTAAAGATATTTACTAACTTGCTAAATTAACATTACAGTATTTCACTGGAAACCATGATCGCCACACTATAAAAGTCAATCATCTAATCTACCCAATCAGATGCCAGTATCTGAGGCTTCATCCTTACAACTGGCGCTCTCATATCTCAATGAGAATGGAGGTTTATGGATGCCATATTGGTAAGTATTACCYATCCCCCTCCCCACYCCCTCACATTTTGAGCATTCAAAGTCAAATTGGATATGACTTGCTAGAGTACTTTAATGTAAGAGCTCTAAACATGAGGTATGGGCAATTCAAATAAAACATTGTTTTGGTTTGTTTCAGACAAATGCAAGCTACCAGTTGGTCTTGAAGATTATAGAATTCAAGGTGGMCAGCTTTCTGCTTCTTCTTTCCAGGGCACAACCTATCATCCTTCCAGAGCTCGTCTCAATGTCCTTTACGGATGGACACCTAGAGGAAGCAATAGGAATCAATGGCTACAGGTAACACTACAGGGGTGGATAGAGGGGGGGGGGGAGGTGAATTGGGTGACTAGGACCACCCCCCTTTTTCGAATGAAATGATAATGCAAACTTAGGAAATAGTAAAGTATTGGGTAAAAATCGAAGATTCACGTCTAGGTAATATATCGCTGTGAAGAACTTTTGGGTTATTATAATACCTACTTCTAAATGTTAGCTCTCTAAAAAAAATTCACCCCCCCCCCTAAAAATATCCTGGATCCCCCCCTGCTACAATCATAAACATCTGATTGAAAAAATGTCATTGTTTCACAAATACATGGCAAGACTGAAAGGGGTCCTGGGTACTCAGGAATTCAAATCATATTTGACTAAACATAGAAGTCCACCCAGAGAAAGCTACATGTATTTCATTTAGTACAGGCAATCTACTGGCTCTGAAGCACTATTATACTCATAATAYTTGTTTTCCCACAATCCCTTTTGGTCTTAATGTAACTGGGTGGAAATGATGAAGTAGTCTCTTAATATACTGTAGGTTCATATTGATTGATATAAGTTGTTGAAGAAAGATAGCACACAGTCAAAACTAACGCACAACCTAATCCGGAGCTGGTTTATTTGCGTAAATCGCGCGCCTTACAAACGTGACTGCCATCGTAATTTCCCATATATGGATTACATGTAACGTAATCTTGACCTTGCTGACGTAATCTTTTTGATATAGAAACTATAGCACAAAGATTGCACAACGCAATGAATTTTCTTTAATCATTTCAGATTGAATTCATCCATGGCGTCCGCGTCAAGGGTGTGGCCACACAAGGAAGGTCCAATAGTCACTACTGGGTTACTCAGTATTATTTGACATACAGTTCAAATGGTATGAGTTTCAAACCTTACAAGTTTCCATCATCAACAAAGGTTTGTATCAATGGAATACGCTGTTGTACAGTGCAAACACTACAAGAATGATAAAGTACTAATTCAGTTGTTCTACATATTGATAGAAAATATTAATTAGACATTGGAAATAATTCAGTAGTACTTAGTACTATAAACCAGATAACTATATACTTCACACTAAATAGTTCGCTGACTAATTTAAATGCAAACCTGCTCCGCAGGCAACCATTCATTTTCTTCTTTTGAGCCGAGCAAGGGCATTCGGAGGGAACTATGAATGATACTAACTTCTACTTGAATCGTAATCGCCCTGTTTTCTATTGCTTTGTCAACATAGTACTTTTTCAAGATTTTCGTGTTTGGATTCTAATAAAACGATTCTAATTATAGATATTTATAGATTAATATTTTTTTTCTTTTGAATAGTATTTCAGAGGGAACAGTAACATGCATAGCATCGTCTACCATGACATCGAACGACCTTTCGTTGCTTCTTTCCTGAGGTTCCGTCCCACAAGATGGCGAAGCTATATTAGCATGCGCGTAGAAGTTTACGGCTGCTCCACTGGTATGGCATACAGGCCCGGGCAATTTTGATACGTTTTCGTGGCATTTCAGCCGTTTTTTTCAATTCCATTTAGAATTGAGATTAAGAAAAAAATGGTCTGAAAACGCAGCAATGTGGTTGAGGCCCAAATTAGCTATAAAAACTGATACTTGTACGGGCATTTTTCAATTACGTATACGGACATTTTTCTTTGACTTATACCAGAAATTTTCCTTTGACATATACAGACATTTTTCTTTGACATATTCGGACATTTTTCTCATACGTATACCGGTATTCTTTTAATTATACGGACATTTTTCTTTTACGTACACTCTATGATTTCGGACTATTACATAAGGCCTATGTTTGGGATGTGACAAAAAACTATGTTGTATCAGACAAGTATCTTTCTTTTGTCGTTTGTTTGAGAATTTTTTAATACAAACTATAATTGAAATTTAATAGATTTTGCCATATATGACCATTTTACTAAATGAATAAAAAAAACATAATTACTTTTGTTACAGTTGGTGCATGCAACAAAGCATTGGGTATGTACAGCACTCGAATAAAGGCAGCCCAAATCACTGCTTCCACCTACTACAACAATGCTTTGAAGCCCGAGTACGCGCGCCTCAACAGACGGTTAGGACAGGGTTCCTGGTCAGCAAGACACAATAACCACAACCAGTTTCTTCAAGTAGATTTTGGTACAGTCAAGAAAATCGTCCAGATAGCYACCCAATCGCGGCACAATGTCCACCAATGGGTGACGTCTTTCTGGTTGTCTTACAGTATTGATAAGGCMCATTGGGTTTTGTATAAGTATAAGAGTGGGCAAAGTGAGGGTGTTAAGGTAAGGAAACCCTTTTAGTTAAGCGATTCTAGAGACATTCAGTCAATCTTTTGTAGAAAATATTGTTATCATTCAAAGGAGTCATTTGCGGATAGACTTCTGAAGYCTTTACGTCATCAACGTGATTTGCAATGCATTGTGTGAACAGTTTCTAGAGAAAATAAAAGAAATCCGCCATGTTTTGTCCCAAACATCCTACAATGCATTGCGTATACGGTATATGATATGAGAGGCTTCAGAGGTTTATCTGAAATCATCAATTAAAAAATTGAATAATTGTTTAACCAATTAATGAAATTATCAATCAATTCTTCCGGATTTCCTACAGAATTATTATTTTTTCATCAAGTTTAACATGGCGGCGATAGCTTTGTTCTTTAATAATTCTGGAGGGATTCTTGACCATGTGGTTGAAATCCAAGAATTGTCAAGGCTCGTTTACACTTGCGATTTTTGCAGCAAAATGCAAAATTGTCGCGCGATAATCGCCACTTTGCTATTGCGCAGCTAAAATCGTACGTGTAAACAGCCCTGCGATTGTCGCGATGGAAAATCGCCGCGAATTTGCAGCCAATTTTCATGCATGTTCAAAACTCAGGCGATGGTCGCGCGACGGTCGCCGCGAGAATCGCTCTGCAAAAATCACAAGTGTAAACGGGCCTCAAAACTCACAGAAAAAACTCTATCACTCATTGATATCTGTCTGTCTGTCTGTAGACATTCCAAGCCAACCGTGACATATATTCCACTGTATACAACCCAATAAACCCAGGAATCAAAGCTAGATATGTACAGATTAAACCTCGTGGATGGAGATCACACATCTCAATGCGAGTTGAGTTCTATGGATGTGCTACGGGTAAGTTTATTGCCCGGGTTTATTTATAATATTCTTCTTTTACAATGTACGTCACAGCGGCAATCTTGGAGTAAATTCAACAAAGGATTTCTCGTTAGCATATATTGTTCATTCATTCACCATGGCCGCCAGTCTTACTTTCGACTCGCATGGGAATGATTGAAAACGATTTTAAGTTAATAGGCACTAAAAATAATCCACATTAGACTTCTCGAATTCGCTTGGATGATCATAGAAGAATTGATTGAAATCGAGATTAAACTTGATTCTTTGTCGATCAATGACAGCCCCGAAACCATTGTTTCGTGTTCATCCAGGCTAATTCAGAAAAGGTCTATTACAAAGAAAACAATTGTGTTCCAACTTTTTCCTCCTTTGGGATTCCTTTGTAACGGTCATCTTGGCCGCTAGGGACTAGTGACGAGAAAGCCCTCATTATCCCTCTTTTGACTCCCAAAAAAGTTAGGAAGCCCGTGATTCTTAGTGATGCCTGCGGAGGAGCCTATTTTTGACAAGGCTGGTGGAGGGGTCCTGTGTGCCTTCCCGACGCCCCTGAGATATARAAACACTTAACTCCGAACATGTGTAAGACTTTTTGTTGCCTTTCTAGACAAGTGCATGYTGCCTCTTGGAATGGAAGACAAGAGAATCAACATTGGTCACCTTAARTCAAGCACTATGTATAACCCAACATACGCACCATGGAGGGCTGGGCTCCACACCACTTATGGTTGGTTGGCCAGGACACAAAACGCTAATCAATGGATTCAGGTCGACCTTGAAACACCAACACATTTAAGGGGTATTGCTACTCAGGGAAGACATAACGCGAACCAGTGGGTAAAGCAGTATCGACTTTCTTATGGAAACTCTCCTGGAAAATTGACCATGTACCGTGAAGGTGGAAGACCAAAGGTAAGAAAGCGCTGATCATTTTGACTTATGGAATATACACCCTTTTAATAAGTCCCGAGGTATTGTTTTCTGCACACTTAACGTCAAATTTATTCTTTTTTTGTAAATTTTTACAATACAAAAGGAATTCAAAAGAATAAATTTGACGTCAAGTGCGGAGAACACAATACCTTGAGACTTATTAAAAGGGTGTATATAAGTGTTGGAAGATGATGCAATGGAAGCATTCAGCTTGCGTTGTCAAAGAAGCTTCACCCTGTGGACAAAACAGATGATTTTTACTCTCTAGAAAACTAGATCCATTGACATTGTCCCCCAGTTGGATCTGCATATCAAGGGTTCTACAGAGAGCTTTTATTATTAAAAATCATTTATCATATAATTATTTATGAAATACCTATATTTCTCCATTTCGCCGTAAAATTGATATTTTCACTAGTGAAAATAACACATTCGAGGTTTCTCTATAAAGTGTAAGTCAGAAAAATGGTATTTTACGACATAATTTGCTTTCATATACAATTATATGATAAATAGAATATTACATGGTCGCTTAGAGATACATATTTTATCTTCTCGTGAGAGATCTTTTCAACACTCCTCAATTTATTCTCAATTTATTCTATTACAGGTGTTCATTGGTAACAACGAGAGACAGTTCCCTGTCTTCCATCTGTTTAACAAGCGATTCAAAGCTCAATATGTCCGTMTCCTTCCTCTTCGATGGCAGAGCTACGTTACCATGAGATTTGAGTTGTATGGTTGTCGACTAGGTAAGTACATAATCATTGGGTTGGGGATGAACAGGAAGTGTAAAGGAGGGTGAAGCATAGGCCGCCCAACTATTGCTTGAGAGAAGGAAAAAAACGAATGCGCACGATTTTATGCTAGTATGCTAGTACTATTATCGGCGCGCGCTCTTACAAAATGCGGGTTACCTGTGGCATTACGTCAAAGATCCCTTGCCTCGCGGGATCCAAAACTAGTCTGTGACAGACAAGTTTTTGATCCCGCGATCCCGCAAAAGGGATCAATGACGTAATACCACAGGTAACCCACATTTTGCTAAGAGCGCGCGCCGATAACAAAAGCGTGCGCATTTATTCTTTTCTTTCTCTCAAGCAATAGTTGTGTGACCTATGGGTGAAGGGGGGATGATGCAACATCAGCGAGGGCGAGTAGTATTTTGAAATAAAGCATTGCATTATTATACATTTCAATATTACTGAAAATGACTTTTCCACATGCAGCACCTCATACCAAAATATATCGTAACCATTTTCGTATTTGTTCACGACACACCCTTTTTGTAGCTCAATTTTTTGAGGGCATAACCATTRTGAATATGCGAATCACTATTCCATACTCCACCCACTCCTCCCTAAATAAATTACTTTTGTCTTCAATAGGTGCCATGTGTAACAAGGCCATGATAAAGAAGATCCCAAACAGCAGGATAACAGCCTCGTCGTCCTACAATTCACGATATCTGCCATATCGATCACGATTTTCAACAAAAAAGTATGTAATGCTATTTTTCTAACCGGGGATCGTTTCAAATCCTGAACTTCACAGACAGGATTAGGATTTCAACGTAAAAGCGTCTGTCTCAAAACGTTTGGCTTTTTAAAGTTATTAGCCAGTAATTAAAGTTATTAAAGTTATTAGCCAGTAATTCCCTTTTTTTCCCTGTGTCTTTATTATTTTTATTGTGGAAGTATACCTAGGTATACAATAAATAATAAAAACGTACCGAAAACGTTTTGCAGTATTAGTCAGTAGCTGTTTTCAAGATGTCTTCGTGAAATTGGATCTCTGTTTTCGAGTTTTTAAAATGCAGGAATGCTTACGATAACATTTTTTTACCTTCAGAGATAACCGCGGGTTCGGAGCCTGGGTTCCACGTCACATGAACCGTTACCAATGGTTACTGTTTGACTTCGTCCGACCATCAAAGATTGTTCGTATTTCAACTAAAGGTCGTCAGGACGTGGCTCACTGGGTTACACAATATTACATGGAGTATTCTTTGGATGGTGTTCGTTACCTCGAGTATCAGTACAGATCCAGCAGAAAGGTTCGTTTTTTTCAAACGTCGAACTTCACAAGTGCAATCTAGTTCTAAATTCCCCCTGTGGGACTCCGGGGTAAAAGAACCGGGGATGCTCGTCAGAAATGCTCAAAAAGACCCCCGGAAGTCTTGAAAAAAGGGCGTGGCTGACTGATTTTTAACCCCCCAAGAGATTGCACAACAAAATATTGCAAAATTAAATCATTTCCAATGATAAAAACCCAAAGAAAAATGAATATCGATGCGCTCTTTCGCTTCTTTTCCGACACCCTAAGMGACTGCAGAAAATTCAAATATCCTAAAAGATTCCCAATCACGAATCTTTACAACCCCCTCCTCCCTGGGTAGATTTGACACCTCAGCAAGTGATCTTAAGCTCATTTTSTACATTGCAGTATTTCAGTGGTAATAACAACCAACATACCGTAAAGTCTCACTACCTGTACCCACCAATCAGAGCACGCTACGTCAAAATCGTTCCCTGGAGCTGGCGATCTTGGATTGCAATGAGAGTCGAGTTCTACGGATGCAACACAAGTACGACATTAACTGTAGTTTTTATTCATAATCTTAATGGGACATTTCTGATATGACTATGGCTCCCGCGCGGGACTAGGAAAGTTCTAAGGTCGTGGGTTCGAATCCCAAGGGGGTCGGAAATTATTTTTTTCTGATATATTGTCATTAATTGATAAATAATGAAAGTTTGTCTTTATTGATGTTTCGGAATTTGGTCTTCATATAGATTTTAAATTGCTCTTTAATTATCCAAAGACTCATGTTAATTTTTTTTGTATATACTCCGTACTTTGTGAGGARTTAGTCATCAGAAGTTTTTAGGACAAAATTAATAACAATTGATGAAAATTCAATATCATTTAACTAATAATTAATTATTGATTAATGTCGAAACGAAAATCAACAGATGCTTGTAACATGCCACTTGGTCTTGAGAGCCACATCATTCCCTCTGGTAACTTCAGGGCCAGCTCATCTTACAACTACAACTACGGTCCCGATAGAGCTAGACTGAACCAGCGCAGTGGAAATGGACGTATTGGAGCTTGGTGTCCAAAACACAGGAACAGGAGAGAGTAT